CTAACAGGTGCTCAGTGGAGCTTAGGTGTATTGGTCGAGATAGCTAATAGAGGGGCCAGGGTGTGTTTGTTTAAAACGTTATCCTAGGAAAACTGAGGCAGAGAGATTAATCTTGCATTTTGGTCCAAAGATGAGAGATTTGTGGACATTCCAAACTTGAGGAAGGGAGCTCCAAAAACCTTGGTCAGCTGCCAAAAAGGTCCATCAAGCCATTGCATTGTAAACAACAATTCTCCTAATTGAATCAATACATCACATCAGTTGCATAACTGGATGTAATAACTAGAACCTCTGCCTAATGCTTCCCGGGATCATTAGTCACAGAGCAACGCGTTGCAAGGCTCGGGCTCAGAGAACTGTGTGACTAGATTTTGTCTGCTAAGATTTCATGCTTGCTATTCTTACCAAATTGATCCAGCTGCCAAATCTGTGCAAGAATCTCCATCACACCCCTCCCCCCAAAGGGGAAGGACACCATGCTGGCAAGGGGCCACAGGAGACATTTTAATGTTTAGAAAGCTGTAAACAAAAGTACACAATTTTTGCTACGTCACATGCCAGAACCATGTTCTACAGACCCCCAGCTTTGTGTCCGATATCACTCCCTTGTAGACCAATGTAAGTTTTCTGAAAAGTCCTACATTACATAGTGCCTAGAACAATGGGGTGCACAGATACTGCTGTACACACATACAACAGAATAATACTTCCAACCACTCTTCCCTGTAACATTGCACAAAAAATCTAAGCTATGCAATGGAAGTTTAAAAACAAAGTGATTCCAACCATACAAGAGGGCATCTCAGAGAAAGCTCCTGAAGGGTTTGTTAAAGAACACGACACGGCAAAGAATTAACTCATTTTATTTACTTTTGACATATCAGTTTTAAATTTCCAGTTACAGAGTTCAGTCTAGCAATGGCAAGCTGAAAGTATGGTACTGTTTGGTCATTACAACACAGCCCTTTTGTGACACTGGATTGTTTGGTTTTACAAGGCACTGCAAGAAAGTACTGAGAAAAACAGAAGCCTCAACAAATGTATAACTGTAGCGCCAATAGTCCTGATAAGCACACCTGAGAGACTTGTGGGGGGGGGGGGGAGAGGAGGAGGAGGAGGAGAATGTTTATCTGATCACAATTAACAGAGGAGGTTCAAAAGTGCCCATCTTGAAAGGCTGAGTGATGCTGCAAATGCATAAACAAGAGACGTCCGGACAAGAGAACATGATCTGAAGAAATACTACCAATAATTCAGCCAGTCTGCTGAAGCCCAGTGAACAGTAAGAATGCTGTGTGCGCGCAAGTGCACTTAGTAGCACGTATTCTGCTCTCCCTTACTAGGCCTGGATGTGTTCTGGGAAGGTCTTAGGAGCTCAGGTCAATGCAGAGCTTCTATAGAACGTCCCCTCAGATAAAGGGGACACTGACAGGTGGTCACTGGTTTCTCCCAGTTACAGGAGTCCAATCTTGCCTCTTCCCTCCGCACCTGCGTGCAAATGGCTCATCTATCCCCATGCACCAACAGGCTGCATTCCCAGGGAGCAAAGCCCAAGAAAAGGCACTCCCTGTTTAATCAAAGTTAACACAGGCATTTCAATAAGCGGGTGCAATACAAGACCTGAGCCTGTATTTAAACAGCCCAGGGTTTAACTTCAGGGCAGTGTATAATTTCATTTCCCATATTTAATTCTTGTCTACAGCAAGACACCTTGCCTTTCATTTTGTTTTAAAATATTTCTTTAAATAGAAGTAGTCTCCATGTTTCAATAGGGTGAGGAATTAACAATACAGCCCAAGAGTATCCTGTCGGTTTAATTTTTTTGAATATAGCTTTGTTTCTGCTGTGGAGATTCAGTGAAACTGCTGTTTATTTTTACACTGATGAGACATTTATTATGTCAAGCTGCAAATACTAGTTTTGAAAGGAAAAAGGACATTTCTTCACTGCAAAATATTAGGTAGGATTTCTGGTAAATGCAATGCAACACTCTACAATATATAAAAATGAGCAATTAGGGGCATTTTATGCAAGCTTTTCAATAAAGTTTTGAAAATATAACAAAACCTAGAATAAGCTAAATTGAATGAAGCCCTAACAAACTGCTCCCCCCCCCGTATTTTACTGTAAACAGGCTTTCTACAAACCAGAAGTGAAACGGTCTAAGGCGCTTGGAGGGAAGCTGCTCTATGGAAGCCCATTCGAGAAACACAAATGGATTTAGAGCTATTGTGAATTCAGCTACAACATCCTTGTTGCAGAATGATTCCTAAAACTGAACTCCATATATGAATATACACAAACGTGCCTGTTACTCTCCCTTATGTTGCTCTGTTGGTTTTTAACACAACTAACTCTTAAGGGAGCTCAATGCTGTATCACAAAAATGCATGGTTAGAAAGATTAAAAATACTTATGCTACAATTTAAAACCAATTCACAGGTCACCGTTGGGCAGGCGGTGACAGAATACAGTCAGGTTGGGAGTTTATTTCATGTGATGGTTCCTCTTTTAAACAAGGCTGTCACCTGCCAGATTAATCGCTCTTTTCCACCTAACCTTTCCCCACTTGGGGTCCAGCCAGGCCTTTGCACTGCGATTCCTTTATACAGTTCATATTTATATTATATATATATGCATGCATGTAACGTTTCACTGAATTACACATTCAGATAATATGAGGATTATTGGTGTTTTATCACATTTAGGAGATTAGTTTATTTTTTAACTTTTCATTTAAAAAAATACTGGGAGGCTGTGCTCTCAGCTGGAACCCAGGCCTGGAAGCTCCTGGGTTCTTATCCCAGCTGTACCAGGGATTCACTGTGTGACAGTGTCCGGGGTACTGTTTGCCAGCTGAGTGAGGCACAAAGAGGTAACACTGTGCGGAAGATCGGGCAGACCAAAAAAACCACCACCACATCACTGAAGTCTACATGCTACATTTGGGACAATTTATAGTTCTCTACTTGACTTATTATAAGCCAAGCACTTACAGTACAAATCCTAAGTAGATACAGAGAAGTGGTCATATATCAGACCCTGGCAGCAGCCAATACCAATGCTTCAGAGGAAGAGTGACAACCCTCCACACACTGTCATGCAAGGCTGCATGGGGACAAATCCCTTCTCGACGCCGGCAAGCAGTCAGTTTAAAGGTTATGATTCTTAGTTTACATGGTACCAGTGATACTGGCCACAGAGCCAGGCCTACCAGCAGCAATGAATTGCAAACACTGAGCTGCATAAAGTGGTATTAATTTTTTTTCATTCTAAATGTGCTCCCTTTAATTTCACTAAGTCTTATAATTTTGAACACCCTCAATTAAGTCCCCTCCTTGTAAAATTGTTCTTTCCAGGCTAAATAATTCCAGTCTTTGCAGTCTCACGTCACAACCCTGCTCAATACCTCTAACCATCTTCATTACCTTTTTCAATCTTTCCAGAGGAGGAAGCCAATGCTGGACAATACTCCACATAAACGTGAACCATGGATATATATTTTCTTCCCCGTATTTCACTGTCCTTTATTCAAATGCACTCAAGCACAAATGGCTGCTGAGCCTTGGGCAGGTCTTCACTAGTACACCCACCATGGCTCCCAAGTCCTTATTTTCAGAGAAGCCTTCAAGTTCAGAGTCAGTCAGTACTTCTCTTCCCTGATTCATAATGGATATTACCACGTTTTTATTCAAGCTTAATTTCTCCTGCCACTATGGTCACCAATCCCTGAAGGAGTTTGAGCGCATCTGGAGTTTCTCAAAAATCCTCCATAGTTTTTATTAACTGAAACAACTGAGTCTCATCCATAAGTGTCACCAACTCCTTACTCCTTACCTCCCCCAAACTGTGAGGACATAAAGACACCTTGACCAACATAACAAAACCTCCCTAGTTCTCTCTCCCATTCTACAAACCTGATCCCTCATTAAAACAAAATCCACCAAGCTCTCTCACCCAGTTTCTCAGCAAAGTGTTAATACAGTCTAGGGTGACCAGATGTCCTGATTTTATAGGGACAGTCCCGATTTTTGGGTCTTTTTTCTTATATAGGCTCCTATTACCCCCCACCCTCATCCCGATTTTTCACATTTGCTGTCTGGTCACCCTAATACAGACAGTGCTGCAATGACTGTGACTAGAATTTCACATTTTACAAGGTGTACTAGTTATAGGTATCATAATTTTAACTAACTCATTTTTTGGGTTTCCACATTTACTTGCTAGTTTGAAAAATTCTGTAGCTGGCAATGAGTCTCCCAGGCAAAGTTCTATTTATTAATGAACTGAGGATGAAGCAGGCAGCAAATATTACACAAGACAGTAACTAAAGTTTTTGACCATTTTTATGGTGTAATTCCAAACAAAATAGGTCTATAATAGAGAACACATGAGTTAATGAGTTTAAATTAAAAAAAAAAAAAATCAGCAAAAATATTTAATTTAGGTCAGATTTAAATAAAATGAGTTTAATGTCACAATTAAAAAAAATCACTATACAAAAGTTCACTAATAAAACGAGACACCAGCTCTTTAAAGAGGCGATCTCCAACTACTTCTTCTCAAAACAAAAGATGATAAAATAAATTATATTTTCTAGCAAATAAAACCGATCTCATGAAGCTTTACAAAAGCAGACTGAGGAAATGCAAACAATTAAAAACACTGCTCACAACAAAGTGAAGCATATTAGTAGAAATAAGAACTTTGACACTGGCATTCAGAGCTCGCATCCCACGCTCCCACTCTCAGAAATCAGTGAAGTTTTTCCCTCAAAGGAGGATTGTGGGAAGGGACCCAAAATGCACTTCTGAAAGGGTGCCTGGCTGGGGAGACTCCTGACTGAGCAGACGAATCCTGAATGAAGACGACACTTCCCTCCTACTTTCTCCGTTCACAGAACTGTACGCTCCTCCTTCTACAGTTCTATACAGTATAATCCATTCCTAAGCTCGAGTGGATTCCACTGAGCATGGTGCAGCATCAACACTAGTAGGGGGCTCTGAGGCTGACCATCTGCAAACTCCTTAAGGACTATCTGCACTCAAAGTTACAACTGAACATTCAACAGGAAGATGTTGACAGAGTGTCCAATTTAGAACTGGAAACGTTGACCAAAATGAGATGTAAAACTGGCCAACGATCCAGAGGATCAGAGCTGCTAGTCTTCCCTTACTGAATTAGGAGGAATGTTCAGCAGACAGGTGGCCCACACAAGCAGATACCTGCCAAGATGAACCAATAAAAGTTCTGCAGACAAGCTGAGCTTTAGCTTCTCTGTTTAGGGGCAGCCTCACCTGTGACTTTCTGGGGCCATCAACAACCATATGTTCCTTGTAGTGTATCTGCAGCCCTTTATGAGACCATCCCATGGAATTTCAACTCTATGGTCATTCTATCTCACTCAGCCGTGGAGCTCTGCTTCCATTTTGTTCATAGCCAGGAATCTTTTTAAAGTGGAAATTAAATGGTTTCAGAAATTATGTAAAAGTCAGCTGCTATATTTAATGGAATATATCTATATATATAATTCTCTCTTTTGAAGAGGTTCAGCAGTTAAGATGCATTTTGATGATCAGAACTGCTTACCAATGAAAGGGAAAGCTACAAGATCATTACCTCCGCTATTCGCAAAAATGAGTAAAATCACCAATATTTAAACAAAATATTAAATATAATAAATTACTAAACAGGAAATTGTGATCTGACCTGCCTGCTGAAAGCCTGACAAAGAAGTGCTACTCTGCATTTAATGCACAGGAGAGACCGTACATTGACTTTTAAAGCAAGTTCTATCAATCAGAAAAGCTGTGAAGAAAACGGAGATATTTCCACAGAAAATCAATCTTAAGTAACCCAAAAGTATACCTGAACATCTCCATGCACTAGCTTCCCAAGCAAAAGAGTTGCCTTAACAAAACTGCAGAAGTCTCCAACCTCTCTCATGCATTCAAATGTATTTTCTTTGTCACTAGACTTCCTGGTGGGAAGTAGTAGTAAAGTGGCAGCTCTCATTGAGAGATACTATAGTAGAATCATTCATAATTAGAGAACTTAAAACAGTTAAAGATATTTCTAACAGGTTTCAAAACGTAGTTTAATATCTATTTTAGTAAAAGTATTAGAACTAGTCACAAGTTCTTATTTAAATGGCTCCCTAAAAAGACATGCTAGCTAGTACCAATTTAAGCGTTACTTTTGTTGTGGCATTATGCACCTTTCACTTACATCACAATTTAGAGTCAAGGTCACATACTACTAGTTCAAAGACCTTTTTGAATCTTGGCTAGAACACTAGACCCATCTTTCCAAGGGCTGCATTTGGAAAGTCTGCAGAGCCAGCAGCACTTCAGACCTAGCCTCAATGTTACGAATGAGATCATCTCACCAAACAGAGGGCACGTGGAGGCCACCCAGTAATGCCCCTTTTGAGTGAAGTTTTAAAATACAAGTCTCAGTTTAGCCCTTCTCATCATGTATTTCTTAAAAACTTATAGAATGGGACCAGGCCCACAACAACGCTCCTGCGGAAAGTTTTGCTGCCCAAGAGGCTGCAGCTAGAATGGGGGCATGTACTTGCCCCTGATGCCTCATGCCCCCTACAATTGGTTTTGAGACTAGAACAGACCAGTCAGAAAAGTGCATGTTTGCTACCACTGGGGTGAGTGACCCCAGCAGAGAACCCTGGGTCCTGATTTTCCTAGTGTAGATGGATCAGAATTGGTTTGCACTGGTGTCGATAATGGCCAGAAAGGCAAGGCAGTGGAGAATCAGACTGCTTTTCTCCTGGCTGTAGGCCACTAGAGGAGCTCTGTTACTTTCGCTGGGAACGGAGGCACGGGACTGGAAATCAGAGCTGCAGGACTCTCTTTGCAGCAGGAACCAGTGTGTGGATGTGTACAGCACCTAGCCCAGTGGAGCCACACGGGGGCCTCGGAGACAATACAGATAATAATGGAAGCCGTGGTACCTTCTGGTCATTCCTTCCCGGTGCCCCAAGAGAAGCACCAACACAGAGCTCAGCACAGAGTGAACAAGATCATTGCAACTCTGGGTCTGCAGCAGGGGTGGCACTGGGTGAGGCTGAATGCCTGCTAGCTGTGGGGCGGGGTTGCCTTTCACTCACATTTTGGCGTATTTATGTCTATAATAAGCCAAGACTCTGTAACTTAATATTTAATTCAGGGCTTGTCTACATGCCACGCTAACGCACTCTAGAGGGGTGTGATTTGTAAAGCACTTTAACGTGTTGCGTATGAATTCAGTGTTGAAGCAGGATTCTGTCAACGCGCACTAGGAACCTGTTAGAGCGTACCAGCAGGGTCTTCAAGGGACAGCTGGAGCACAAGCCGCTAGAGCGCTTTGCCGCACTGTGCGGACAAGTCCCTAGATGTTATTCTTCCTCCAATCCCGAAACAGAACAAACATTTAGTAGTAGGAGAAGGAGAAGGAGGAGAGTACCAAGTTGTTTTTATGGTACAGGGGCAGGGTAAGCTCTAGCATTGAGGTTCTGGGAAAAGAGACCCCTGTGGAAACAGTGGTCACTAGCAAAGCTTTTCCAACCGCTATAAGTTTTATTTTATACACATATGAAACAATGTGTTTCGTAAAGGAGGTATATGGTTAATCTGAGCAAGGAAGGTGGTATTAAGAGCACAATAAAAATCATTTTTCAGAAATATTTGGTGCAGGTTGGGTGTCTCAAGTACTCCCCAACATGAGAAATCAAAACCATGTACCCCTTCTGTTTGCAGCACTATTAAAGTCTTAACAGGAGTCCACACTAATGCACGGGTATTTTAGGACTGGCAAAAAAGATTCAGTGCCCCTCTAAAACAATTATAAATGACTCCCCATCCCAAACAAGAACTGTTTAAAACCCAAATAAGCCCACAGTCTTCTATGCCAACTGCTTATAGCTATAATTTTACATTAAAACCTATTAATTTTTTTTAAAATCAGCAAATCTTTTAAACTAAGGACTTTAATCAGAAGATGGTATTATCAATTCCCTGCACACGAACTCTGATTCCAGGTGTAAACCTTTCCATCTGCACTGTATTAGACTGCTCAATAGCTGTCACTTGATTTACAGATATCCTCTGTAGGAAACACAGCACACATTTTTCAGCCACTTCAGGAAATAAGTAGTTGCAGGTGGTTTAAAAGACAGACTTGAAATCCTTTCTTGTTTAAGATGAAATTCACACAGGAAGAAAAGAATGTCACAGAATTGCTGGAAGTGGAATTAACTTTCATTCTGAAGTCTCTGATTCTTTTTCTGTACATTTCAGACAGGCTGCTTCCCCAGTACTTAGTAGTGGGGAATATTTTGGAAGTGCAATAGTGGTAGGAGTTTTGCCCAGCTTCAGTGTTCATGGCGACAATTGATTTTGCCTTCAGAATGCTTCAAAACATCAAGCATTTCTTCTATGATAGCCTGTAGTGCCCGGCCCAGCTGTTCTGCAGTATATGGTTTTCCCAGTGGAGGCACATGAACAAATGCAGACCTGCCATGGCTCTGGTATAAGGAAGTATAGTAAGTGAAATCACAGAGATATCTGTAATTAAAAAAAGTTTATTTAGTGATACGCAACAAGTACTGTGAGCAAACTGATATGAATAAAATTGAGCGTGGGAAGCCCAGCACCAATGGCTTCTGCCAATTAGAATTGGAAAACTGTTACAGAAAAGAATGGTTAAATTAATCCTGTATTGGCTTCAGTTATTGTCTCTGCAGCAGAGAAACAGGTTTCAGAGCCTCTCATATCATTCCCATGCCAGCTGTTCTAAAGCACCAAACAACTTCTCCCCAGACAGCAAAAACATCACTTTGGTAGCTGCTTTACCTAAAGAATATTAAGGAGATGGCCTTTATTAGGATAGCAGGATGTCACAAATACAAAAGACCCAATTCTCCGCTGTCCTACACCATGTGTAGTTACTTACAGCTCTGCAGAGTGGGTTAGAATGGTACCAACTGAGAAAGACACACACATGGAAATAAGGGAGGCCCCAGAGGCATAGTTGATTGCTAACCTTCAGTGTAACACTTTAGATCTAAGTAATAATTTCATAGAAAGGGTTAAAGCATTCCTCTGCTCTGCAGACAATCTGTTCCTAAGCATTTCTGTGGTCTCAGAGTTCTATTTTAGATAGCTGACAGACATGAGAAAAATTAGCATGTTTCTAATTAAGGAAGACAAAAAGTGCCCACAAGCGCTTTAGTCTAGTGTATTTATCTTGTCGACACCCCTGGGCGGCAGGGCTATTATCCCCATCGTTCAGATGGGGAACCGTGGTACAGACAGACTAAGGGACTTGCCTAAGGTCACATGGGAAGCCTGTGGCAGAAGAGGGTACTGAACTCAGATCCCACAAATTCCAGGCTAGGGCCCTACACTCCAGACCATCCCTACCTTTGGAACACTTAAACGGGGGGTTTGGGGGGGGGGGAGGGGAGAGGAAGCATGCAAACATTGAAGAGTTTATAGCTTTGCCTTCTGTAAGGAAAGCTGAAGTGGAGAATATCAAAATGCAGATAAAGATACAGCTGCAGATATTTCAAAAGTCACTTCAAACAAGTATTTCAGAAGTTCTCTGAATATATTTTGTTAAAATGAAGGAGTTATTTTTGCTATTCTGGGAAAAAGTCATGACAACGTTTAACAGTAAAGCAAAACCACATGATAGCTGTTGCTGCTGCAGCCAGATTGCATTTTTTGGTTTAACCCAGTTTCAGAAACTCTACTCCCACAATAAGAACATTGTGATAATTATCTAAGTGGACTTCCAGGAAACACAAGGTAAGTGCCCCAACACATCCCACAGACACAAAAAAAACAGTGGTGATAAGAGCCTTTGGTTGCATGCAACATATCTGGCTACTACAACATTTTAATGCGTCTCAGTTCCAGCCCAGGGGCTGTGTGTGGTTTGTGAATGGTGGATAATTTTCTGGCATAAACCTAGTGACAGCAACAACTGTTGCAAGACTTCCAGATAAACATTCTTGTTAGTTTCTTTTTCATTAACGCGACAATAGAAAACGAGTCCAGTTCCGATGCTTCAGACAAAAACTGTTAAAATGGAGTTACGGTTGAGAGCACATACCAGTATTTTACCCCAAATTACATTACAGTGATGTTCCAATTATACACCTAGGAAATTCACAGTTAAGGTTAAAACTTAAAATGCAGAAATGGAAATACAGTTAGGGCATCTGAACAATCTTACCTCTATCTTCTAGTGACACCATGCAATAACCACAGGCCTAGGAGTATGACATTTTCTCTTTATGGACCCAGATGAAATTAAATTCATTTTAAAAAGACAAATTAGGAGTTCTTTCCCTGCCCCCACTCCCTGTGTGAAGGGATGGAAATGCTGACCCCATCAGAAGTGAGAGGCCCAGGAACTCTGTCATCCCCATTAGTTTAGCACAAACGGAACATACACCACTGATCACTATGATCCCATACCTGCCAGCATCCTTGGATATAGTAACCGTGACATCAAGTCCCAGCGTTGAGACTCTCCTGCAAACTGCATCCATGTCAATAATCGAATCGATGCATTCTGGGCCACCTTCTACACAACACTGAGAGCCTGGACAGAAACGGCAGTTGTCTAAGCCTTTGTATCCTACGTTATGCCCACATTTTTCCAATGTTACGGTTGTAGCCATACCTGATACACCCACATGAACCACCAACTGCAAAGAAAAAAACAAAATAAATTAGAGCTAGCTAAAATTAGGGTGGTGGGAGGGAAGACAGTAACCCTGGGGGCATTCTAATGCTATGCTGATGGGGCCACATTAAAAAACTAGAGAGTTCCAGTAGAACCTCAGAGTTGCAAATACCAGAGTTGCGAACTGACCAGTCAACCACACACTTCGTTTAAAACCGGAAGTACGTAATCAGGCAGCAGCAGACACCCCCCCCCCCCCGCCCTAAAACCCCCACCAAATATTGTATTGTGCTAACTGTAAACTACTACTTACAAAAATTAAAAAAAAAATTGACAAAGAAAGGAAACTGTTTCTGTGCTTGCTTCATTTAAATTAAAATGGTTAAAAGCAGCATTTGAAACTTTACTGTGCAGAAGAAAAAGTGGGATTAAGTCAATGTTCAGATGTCAACTTTTGAAAGAACCATAATGTCGTGTTCGGAGTTATGACAACCTCCGTTCACGAGGTGTTTGTAACTCTGAGATTCTACCGTAGGTCATAAGCCAATGAAGTCTTGGATCCAATGTGAAACGATTCCACTTGTGTCTGTCCAGCTCCTAGTGAAAGTTTTATTTCACACCAGGCAAAAGGAAGGTTGGCATGAATGGCAGAATCTGCTCAGGAGAAGCTTGCTACTGGAAGAGCCAAGATGGCACAGATTAGTCCTGAGGTGCCTAGCCCTAGCCAGCCCTTTTCAATGCCTGCCCAGCAAGCACATCTGATGGACGGGGCTCTCTATTTTGAGGTGTAGAATTCTTCAAACAAAAGCAATGCTTTGGAAACCATGGACTATCCAAAGGCCTCTTTATTGACTTTATAAATGTTCTATGTATCTTTACGGGCTGCCTAGTGATGGCATTCCTGGCTAAACGGGTAAGATATACCGTAGGAGGTTTCCTAAAGCAACCAAAGTACTGGGGTGTAATTAATAAAAATTCCCCAATGCTGAAACAGAGCAGGTGGCAACACTTGTGGCATTTCATCCCCTGAGAAATAGCACTCCGACTGCTTTGAGTTGGTTCAAGGGCCTAACATAGAAAGGATTTGGAGCTGTGCAGGATGTCAGCTATGGCCTGGGCAGAGGGCCACAGACACTACTTGTGAACTGACGGGCATGAAGGTATGTCCAACAGAATCAGGTCCTGCGGGAGGACCTGCAGTATTTTAGAATCTACTAGGCCTTCCATAAAAAGCAACAGAGTCCTGTGGCTAGTTGGCTAGCCATTCACAGTCTTTGTTTAATCCTGATCTGATGTTGTAGCTGATCTGGTTAGGGTCCTGTGATGGTGTTATCTACAGCAACACCACCATCACAGGACCTAACCAGATCAGCTACATCATCACCGGTTCATTCACCTGCACGTCCACCAATGTTATATATACCATCATGTGCAAGCAATGCCCCTCTGCTATGTACATTGGCCAAACTGGACAGTCACTACGTAAAAGGATAAATGGACACAAGTCAGATATCAGGAATGGCAATATACAAAAACCTGTAGGAGAACACTTCAACCTCCCTGGCCACACAATAGCAGATGTAAAGGTAGCCATCTTACAGCAAAAAAAACTTCAGGACCACACTCCAAAGAGAAACTGCTGAGCTTCAGTTCATTTGCAAATTTGACACCATCAGATCAGGATTAAACAAAGACTGTGAATGGCTATCCAACTACAGACGCAGTTTCTCCTCCCTTGGTGTTCACACTTCAGCTGCTAGCAGAGGACCTCACCCTCCCTGATTGAACTAACCTTGTTATCTCCAGACTGATTCTTGCCAGCATATTTATACCTGCCCCTGGAAATTTCCATTACATGCATCCGACGAAGTGGGCATTCACCCACGAAAGCTTATGCTCCAATACATCTGTTAGTCTTAAATGTGCCACAGGACTCTGTTGCTTTTTACAGATCCAGACTAACACGGCTACCCCTCTGATACTAGGCCTTCCATGTGAAAGATGGGTGATCACCTGGTAGGGCAGGCATGCATATGACTGGTTTGTTTTTCAGATGTGTTTTCTCCAAAATGATTTCGTTCTGAACAAACAGTACTTGGCTTTATGAAAGCTGGCTAATCACTGGATAGCTTTGTCATTGCCCTGGAGACTGGAACTGCAAGTGACGAGCTGAAGTCAGATCTGTGGAGGTGATTAATGAATTGCAAGGATCTGCAGCCCAGGAGCAGATTGCAGGATTCCGCCCTGAGAACAGTGACGGCTTGCGACCAAAGCGGGCCACCCTCGAGGAGGCCATGTAGACCTCAATGGTGCAGGGATTCGGGAACTGACACTACTAACCAGGGCTCTAGTTATTTTAAGCTGTATAATTGTCCAAATTCACAAGTTTCTGTCAAAAGGAAAGATCTGTCAAATCATCAACATTTTAATCATACATCAGAAGTCTGACTTTGCATTAGGAACATCAGCCCATGGTCGTAAGGATCCATCAGTTTACTATCATCTGTTCCATCTTGCTTTGCATTTTACTCACTTGCGGACTGTGTTTTTTCCACAATGCGGGAATTAGTCTTTGTACTGTTTGGTATTCAACTGGGATTTCATATACATACAGATCCACACCATCTCCCAAGCCCAGCTTCTCCAGCTCCTAAGAACAGGAAAAAAAGTAAAGATCAAGATATCAGACATTTATGCTGGAAAGTCTATTGCTGGGCACAGCCTTCAAGTGTGCTTTATGCTATCCTGCAGGAGAGAGCTCAGACTGGCTTCCTTGCCTCTGGACAGATGGGGACTGGAAACCTCAGGGTGGTTCTCCTCCCAAGTTAAAGTGAGACAAAAGAAAGGACATTTCTAGTCCTCCTCTGCTGGCCGTTTTTAGAAGTGACACAGCATTCCCGAGCAAGCCTTGCACCTGCCCTGGGGAGAGGCTCTCTCCACAGCAGTGAGCTGGGCAGGGGGAAAGCAATCATAACTGGGCTCAAGGGACCGTGAGAAAAGATTATCTTTCCATAAACAATATTAAAAATCCACGGATGGGACCTTTCCTCATACAGAAAGTTAAATTCCTTAGTTAAACCTGGAAAGGTTGCAGACGGTGCCTCACATCAAAAAATAAACGTCATGTCTGTGCCATTTTTCTTAGCTATATTATTTTAAAGAATATGTAATGACATCTTGCTTCTTTCAAGTGGTTTGTGTTATACATGGAAAGCACCACAGATAATTCTATTCACAGAAGAAGTCTAAGTCTTTCTGGTCATCCTATATAGGAAGAAAGAATATGCAAGTTTTCATGCTTGCCTGCACGTAAAAAGGTCAGCAACTCTCATCTCTAGCTAAAAGTAGCAGCAGGCAGATTGCCTTTTTGTTAATCTTTATAGGGAATTACAAAACTCCTCATATGGAAAACTGAAGCAGCATCAGCACAGATTACTCAATATATTTGTGGGTTTTACTTTCACTTTGGCAGGATCAAAAATACAGCCTTAAACTCTAAAATGGAAAAGGAGTTTCGTTTGATGGCTTTACCTATACTGTACTATCCAGCATATTTGTACTTAATTTTGCAACAGCAACTTTTAATTTCTGATTCAAATACTGCAATAAGTCACGTCCTCTTTTAAAAATATTGGCTAAAAGAGTCCCCTCTGACTATTTTAAATATTTGGACACTAACTGAATTTCAGCTGGAAAAACATCCAGCATCGAATTTTTTCCTAATCAAAAGTGAAAGTGGCAGTTCTGTGGCAGGCTTATCACTAGCTCAAATGATGCTGTGTTAAAGTAGAGAATGTTCAGTTAAAGAGACAGAAGATAGCTAGCTAGGAAATATACCCTGCTGCACTGGGAAGCAGTGTCCCGAGCCATCAGAGCAAGACAAACAGAAAACTTAAGAGCATTGTGGCTAAATGCGACAGGAACTAGTTTCCCAGATGATTAAATTAAATAATACAAGTGGGAAACTGGTCACTTTGTGCAGTAGGATTAGACGGCACAACAGATAATATACCCTTTAGGAGCATTTAAAAATAAAATCGTGGCGCATAAGACACATGGAAATGCTTGAGCCACACACTGACATTCAACACTTGAAGGAAACAATTGTCATTTACTTTAGGATTGCAGGTATGTATCTTTCCCCCAGTCCACTAAGCGAGAGCTGTAAAACACGGATCCCACAGGCGCCTAACCAATCAATATACATACAACAAGTGTTAGTGTGCATTAAATTTCCACCGTCCCCCTCCCACAAGCATGAAGGGCTACATACAGTCCCCCCCATTCAATCAGTGGGTATGACAACAATTTGTGTTACTCCAAGGCAAACAGACAAGGTGTATGCCCAACCTCTTGGTATATGACTCCTCTATATGTATCCAGACCTGGGCCATGGGACCACTTTAAGTAATGTTTTGCTTGTACTTCTACAGCATCTTTCACTCAAGGGTCCCAGCGCTTTACCAACTGTTAATTCAGTCTCACAAACCCACCTGTGACACGTGGAAGGGAAGTAAGGTCCCCATTTTACAGACTGGGAAACTCATGCAGTGATACGCAACCTTGAGCAATTCACTTAGCATGCTAAGTAGAATCCAATTCACTGGACACCTAGCAGAGTTTTAAACACAAAGCCATCCTCCTCCTCTGATCATCATCTGGATACCGAGTAGCCTGAAGGGATGTTGTCATGTTTGTCCCAACATTGTTTGGGACAATAGAGAACCCATAAAAACCAATATCCTGATTGCACTAACACTTTAATAACCCTTTTGCTTTAAAAGGTATTGTTTCAGAGGGCCCTGCTGTTTCAATATATTTTGGTTTGATAGATTAAATAAAATATTAGGATAAGTGAGTATTAAGTCCATTTATTTTATCATTTAGTGCATTGTAAATGTATCCCTTTTGACATGTTTATAAAAAGCATAAACATCACTATTTGCACAGCTTTTGGCTCGTTGCACTGAATTTTATACAGGTTTGCTTAAGACAACTACACAGTGTTGTTTGTGTTGTGGGACGTATACATATTTTAAACAGGAATCTGAGCGGCTGGTAGAGTTGGAGTTCCCCAGAAGCTACAGTGAATATCCCTTTACTCATAAATTAACATGTTCAAAAGCATTCTAACCATGGTGGTTATTTAACTGTTTTTGAAATGCAAAGGTAGAATGTGACTTCACTGACTACCATTGTGGTGTTCACTTCTCACCATATCAAAGTTGTGCATTTTGGGTTGTGTGGGAGAGGAGTATTGGAGTTCAGCAAATAAAAGTGGTTGCTTTGTGCTTATCTGGGCACTACAAAAATGAATTGGTTTTTCCACATACAAAGTGTGCTATTCAAAAAAGAAGACAACGCACTGAAATGCGTTTTTAAAAAAAAGGAGTTCCATCTGCTGGCTATGGAATTAGTTTTAGGAGCGCGCAGAAGGGTGTTTTCCATACTTCCGTAGGATTTGTAGGTTTACTGCAAATCAATGAAATTATATTTCCACAAACCCACATAGAATCAGCATTGTTGCTGAACTGGACAGCTGGCTAGAGTCCCATCTTCTGAATTTAGAGTAATTGGATTATAATTTTAGCCAAGATTAATGGCCCAGAATACAAACATGTATGCAGTCATAAAATTTTACAGAATTTATACCAGGGGTTCTCAGACTTTTGTACTGGTGACCCCTTTCACACAGAAAGCCTCTGAGTGCAACCCCCCTTAAATAGATACAAAAGTGTTTTTAATGTGTAACACCATTATAAATGCTGGAGGCAAAGTGGGGTTTGGGGTGGAGGCTGACAGCTCACGACCCTTCATGTAATAACCTCGCAACTCTCTGAGGGGTCCTGACCCCCAGTTTGAGAACCCCTGATTTATACCCTCTGTGCAGCAAAATAAAGTGACTGCTTGCTTTTTTTTTTTTTTTTATTTAATATTTGAGACCCTTACTCATCTGCAAGGTGAAATAAATATTCTAAAATAAAACATTAAATTCAGTTGAATTTAATCTATTTATTCAAATGCAGGACTAGACTTTCTGCTGTAGTCAAAACTTTCTGTCCTTTGACAATCTGAATCAGACAAACAGAAGCCAGACAGCAGACTAACTAAATTCAGACACCAGAGACACACTAACCTTCCCAAATGCCCAGAGGCAGGGAGAATTTTTTTTGAGTACCACACTACTTGGTTTGAAGCACAAAGACACTAAACCTGTGGGAGCAACTCAATGAGGCCCCCCAAGAGCAGCTTAGTACATGGAGGGCTTTAATAGTTTGGGAGAGAGTAATACTGCACTATAATTTATGGCTACTTTTTGCAACATCCTAGTAATAACTGATTCTTCAAAGTTGCACCACTTCATTGAATTCTTTATTCATGTATTAAGATATCAGTATTAAAACTTGTATGCAAGTGCACAGGGTAACTGCATCCTCCACATGCTTAGTGAACTACTAAAGGAAGAAAGGGACTGACTGTGGTGATTTTAAATATTAAGGCTTAGAAATACAGCCTTGATCATTTACCTCGGGGTATTATGAAAGTTGGAAACCCAGATAGCCAGGACAGCTACAGGGTGAAGTGCAACAACTGCTCATAAGCAACACTCACACTCATTCTTTATTTGTACTCCCAGCGTGTCTGTATCCATCTGTCGTCTCTTGTCTTAGAGTTGGATTGTAAACTCCTGTGGGTCCTGTGTGTGTACAGCGCCTAGCACCACAGGATCCTGGTCCATGACTAGGGCTCCAAGGTGCTATGGTAATACAAATAAAGAATACAGTTTTATCACATATAGACATTCACAGAGTTGAAGATCACTGGCTTCGTGCCAACCAATACTCCAAAGGGCTGTAGGGATCTATTGCACCTCTTGCAGGTCATTGCTTGCTTCTTCCTGTGTATACAATTGGTTAAGTGAGAGATCCGTGCTGACTGAAGACATACATTGGGAACTCTGTCGATACTAAAATCGTCTCAATACAATCAGCAGAGAATCGGGGCTCTAGTCTGGTCTTAGTTATTTCCAAAGTGATACACAGAAGTGGCTCTATGCAAAACGTCCAGGACATTAGAAATCTGGGGCAGGGATGGAAATGGATAATTTAGTGTTCCTCAGAGTAGGCTTGTCAGGTACACAAGAGATGATTGTGCACATCTAGGAGAAGGCAACGAGCCCCAGCTAGCAAGTTACTTTTTTCTAATCCTTAGTTGAAAACCTTGGAGAAGCTGAGTGTGCAAGTTCAAGTTGCCCCCAAGCTTCTCTTTACCTTGTGATTTGCACTTACTCTGCGGGTCACTGCTGGCCTTGCTGACCCCAACAGCATTACAGGGTCTTAGTATTACCTGGCTAAAGATGCCTTGAGCAGCTTCTCCGGTTTAGGAGGGACAAATGGGTTTTTCTTCGACACTAGGCCAGTAGGTCATCTCTCCACTTGTTTCTTCTTTCCAACGTATATGTGGCCAGTGCGGGTAAAGGGGTCCCAGTTTGCCTTAGTGTCTTTTCTCCAGTACCTCAATGGAGCATGGGATACTGAACCTGTCTCTTCGAGGGAGTGTTCCCTCAAAGAGCAGGTGTTTAGTAAACTTTTCCATTGGAGTGGTGTTTGGTTTTATTAAAGCAGATCAATGAGTCGTGTTCTCTTGATCTAGGCAGCTGTGAAATTCCTTTGGAAGCTCGGCCCATTTCCAGAGTGTTCAGTGGCATCCAAAGCAAGGGCCAGGAAGGCAGAAGTCGCAGCACCAGCATGGATTCAGTACATTATTCTGAAGCTGTTCTATCTGTGTCAATTCCAGCAGTTCCTGTGTAGTCACTGATTATGCCCTAGCAGAGGCGCTTTCCTGAGTTTGGTGCCATGAGGAGTGGGCATTGAGCATTAACACTTGCACTATTCATTATGTGAATCAAAAAGAGATGAGGGGGTTTGGAAGGAATCCTCACATCTGAAATCTGTATGGTTTCCAGTTCACCCAATATTTTAGTAAAGGGTGGAGTATGCAGGTAGTGCAAGGTATCACCATGCACCCCAGAAGTCGCATTTATTTGGTAGCATAATGTTCAGCCTACATTCTTGTAGTTTAAGACACTATCAAGTTGAAGTTAGGAGATGTTTTCCAAGGGGATTCATAAGGATAGAAAATAAAAGTGTGCTCGGGCTAGTTTCTTTTAAACCTTTGGGGGAAACGCTGCAACTGCCAGTTGGACCCCTGGCCAGAGGCTTCTTTGAGGTTAATTAGGGAAGAGGGAGGATGAATGCTTCAATGAAAGAAGAAAGAATAGAGAATAGTATTGTTTCAATACAGCTTGTACTGAAAATTCTCTCCAAACCCAGCATAAGGTCTTGCCTGTTTTCCAGCTCCTTTTTAGTGGAAATTGTTCATAACGCAGTATCTCCATTCATCTAGTTTACTCTATGGTCAATTGCCAAACACACTAGTTTGGCCTCTTTTCTCTCTTGCTCTTCTGCTGTCACCTCTGTTTTGATGCATTCCAGTCTTACCAGCAAGATTTCAGTCAGGTGCTTGCTCATATGGTACGTCGGACTTCAACAGTTTAGCCCAGAATGGGACTGGCTCATCAGAAGTGAAACCATCAATTCCAGAGCCCTCAAACCCCAAACATCCTGAGAACTGTAGGGAGGGAAACACACACAAGATTTGAAGCCTCTGAAAAAAGGAAGAGATTTACGTAAGCAAGCTCAAAAGCCGAGCTCCAAACCTATACTGTACGTTGGGTTTAGGAGCCTTACCACAGATTACACTGGGGAGCATTTTCAGAAGCTGCTAAGGGTCTTCAGAATCCAACTGACTTTCAGTAGGACTTAGGCGGCATCTTCATTTGGAAAAAGTCAGTGCTCGTAACTCAAGTTAGCTACCTCGAGGAACAAAACTAGTGCAGACAAGATAGTTTGTAGTTTGCATGAGTTCCCACGTGAGTTGAAGGGTAACTACAAGCTGCCTTAACAATGAGGAGTCCTTGTGGCACTTTAGAGACTAACAAATTGATTTGGGCATAAGCTTAAAGTGCCACAAGGACTCCTCGTTTTTGCTGATACAGACTAACACGGCTACCACTCTGAAACCTGTCTACAAGCTGCCTTGTCAGTACTGGGACTTTATCTCGTTAGCTAGAGTTAAGAATACACATCTTTCCCCTAATGACAAAGGTTTAGGCACTTTTGATAATGTTACCCATTGCTCTTAAATAACAAAAGGACACACAGACAAGTCATCAGCATCCCAGAACTTTAGGCTTAGGTCCTTCTTCCTCCTCCACCAGCCCAAGAATGAGGTGACCAGTGTATTTCTTTTGGAACACAATTACAAGTAGTGAGATACTTTGTACCACATCTGTTTTTAATCGCTGATCCTGTATTTTGCATGGAAAGATTACTGACTTTTTAGGTCCTTAGATTTTCAAAAGTTGATACACAGTTAAAAACATCTATTCCTGTCCTTTTCTGCAGATGGGCATCAATTAAAGAGTGCAATTCTACTCTTGCCAAGATCTTATACTGCTAACTCCAATTAGTGTCAGAGTAGGAGTTACATGTCAAGAAAATAACTTTCAACTCACTCACAGTCCAAGAGCTATTATTTTAATTGTTTTCAGGAGTCCACGCTGTTGTTCTTACACCACCAACCTGCTCTCAAACAGACGGGTTACACATTTAAGGATAACTATACAAGAACATATTTAGCAGTTTCACTCTCCAAAACCTTTTACTCTCTTTTGCTGTTTTAGTTCCTGACGCTGCAATCAGAGCAATGAGGGCAGACCCTTGTGGAGGTTCCAGGCCTTATTCTGTAGGGTACTTAAAAAAAAAAAACAAAAAAAAAACACCTCTTTTGCTCCCCAAGTATAGTTGCAAACTTTTCCATTTTATGAAGTGTGCACTTTTTAAAACAACTGTTTTTCTACACACTCACGCTGCTGTCACATTTTGGGCTAGGTCTAAAACATGCTTTGAATAAGACTGCTAGCCCAGACTTTCACAAGTGAATATCGATTCTGTGTGCCTGACTTGAAATTCCTTAAATGGGCAAGAGGGTGAGTGGTCAGAGTATTCTTGAAATGAGTCCCATTTAGATGGTTCCTCTTGTGGGAAGCTAAAAATTGTTAATTGCTTTTAAAATCATGGCCATTTGCAGAATGCCCCTAGCTTCCTGCTCTTTAAAAAAAAATTAACCTTATCCGCAGACTGAATAGTGTGTATACAAGGAATTATTTTCAGACAAACAGAAAGTTAAAGCATTAAGGCTAAACGCGTGTTTCAATGCAGTCTCTAACACTCAAACCAATATTACTTTCAAAAAGTTCTACACTTTGTAAAAAACCCAAACATTAATATCTCTGGAAACAAACCATTAATTTACATAGTCCACTCAAACAGCTTTGCCCCTAAAATTTGCAAAAATATACACAAAGTTAAAGATAAATTACTGAGATTATAAAATCCTATTTTCAACAATGCCTGGTTAATCATCTTAATCCTTGAATATTTCTTGCAAGTTTTCAAGAGCAAAGCTGTGCTTGAGAAAACTGTGTAAACTGGGCCAGGTAAAGTGAATGAAGGATTATATGTCAGCAAGGAGCAGGCTGGATACCTTGTTTATTTCTACACTTAAAAAACCCAACATTAAAATGTCTGGATTCTTTTAAATAAAGATAGCAATATTGTTTGGGTCTTAACCAAACTCTTTAATAAGGGTTTTTGAGTGAGCATCTTAGCATATAGGGCCCCCAGCAGGGAAGTGCTACTCTGACAGCTCTTATGAAGCTCCAAACTCTACCTGGACTTTTTAGGCCAAGCCATTTTAGAGATGTGAGCCATAATACCTTAGGAAAGTTTTCAAAGCTCCTTAACTTTACAACTCCTTTTCTGATCGTTACCAAACATTCCAGAAAAATTCTAACGAGGGAACGTAATGAAGCATGTAAAATTTCAGGTAGATTGGTTTCTTTGGGAAAACGTGGGTCGAGAAGCATTTGAATCATCTGGCCAGCAATAGGAAGCTAGTGTAAACATTAACTGTGAAGTTTATAGAGAGACTGCTTTATAATACAGCAGTATTTCCCCTATATTGTAACCTGACTGTCAACATTTAACGTCACCCTAGTTTCCCTCTAGTTATCAATGCTGTCGCTTCCTTTATTGGAGTTCTAGGCACATGGAGAAAATTTACGCTTGTATGGATGGACAGACTGACACTGCGCCTCCCCCCGGCTGCCAAACAAGATTACTAACAGACCCAGAAAAGATAAGAGTCAGACCTGCTGGTCCATGAAAGTCTGAGCAAGAACAGTGATAAATCACTTGCTGTAGCTTTGAGGGCAAGTCTGATATTAAAGGTTTGTTGTATTGATTAGCGTCTGAAGCATGCAGACATTCGTTACTAGAGACGGATGTTAAGTAATGTTTCATCACATCTTCTTTACACTAATCTACTTTCAAAATTTTAGGTATTTTACTTGGTGCATCAATGAAATAAGTAACTACATAATATTAAAGTAATACTGAAATAAGTCTGTCTTCTAACACCTAGGAATTCTCTCTAAGAGTATGGAAAGATACTAGACGCTGAGTCTCAACAATTATGAGATGTGCCATACTGCACCTCTCACTCAACCCTACATGTTAGATTGAATGCTCCAGGCAGTAACTTGCAGCTGGAAGCATTTAAAGGCCAACTTCTCTGCTCTCTATCCACATTTCTATTAAATGTAGTTTTACAAATTCACAACTAACATTTTACCAGATCGCGCACACACACTTCTATTCAATAATAAAAATGTCCTTTGGCCCCCAGACAACTTATTATCTACAGCTTTGTATACCTGACAAATATATAAAAAAAAAAAAACATGTTTGACCCATTCCCTGACCCCTCAACAATGGACCTCTTTGTGAGCCTTTAATATCCTTATCAGGTCTGTCTAGACACGCTGACAGCAATTGTCCCTAGTAATGTCAAAACGCACTCTGACCCTTCTTCTCATCCTCCAGCTCAGCCAGAAACACTTCAATGGGATGGATCCAGGAGCCAATTAGCTTCACAGTCCATAGGGCACACCTGTGTCTAAGCTGATCTGCACATCTCTGTACAGAAAACAGATTATTTTATACCAGGGGGAAAGCCAGT